AATGCTGGTGGGCGAGATGCATAGCGGAAAGCGGTGGCCACGGCTTAAAGAGTGAGTGCGAGGTGCGATACGCTCCGGATCCCTCCTACACAGCAGATCGACCGTGGGATAAAGCGGAAAAGAGAGAGAAAGAGAAAGAGAGAGAGAGAGAGAGAAAAGAAAGTAATGAGGCGTCCAATTATCAAGGCATCCTGGCAAAGAATAAGTTCATATTATTCTCTCTCTTTCTCTCTCTCTCCCCCCTCTCTCTTTCTCTAATATATTATTATTCATAATTATTTAAAAAATTATTTTTCTTCTTATTCGAATATAATGTAATAAGCGACTGTATCAATTTCATTATCGATGACGACTATGATCAGACAATACCATAGAATATGATATTCACGATATGTAGAGAAATTTCTTTTATATGTTTGGAGTATGTTGGAAATGAGAGAGTTCAATGGGATACGGGGATTTTCCTGGGAACAAAATTTCACATCGCGGTGGAGCTAAGTAGCCGCTGTAAAACCTACTGTAAGCGCTTTGTGACGACACAACGTTGGCCGAGCTTCGGTCGGAAGAAGAAGTGCTCGGCGCGGTCGCCTGTTAAAACGTAAGCAGCTCACAGAAAGCTGCTTACGATATTCGAAACGAAAGGTAGCGAGACGTTATCAAGAGACAGAGAGAGAGAGAGAGAGAGAGAGAGAGAGAGAGAGAGATAACAGGGAAGAGGGAGAGGCAAAGAGTGCCCCTTTCTGCTCGCTCGCTAAATGACAATCTGTCAGCGTGTTTCATTAGCGTAAAGTGCACGCAACTCACTAATGACGCACTCGCACAAAGAGACCACAATGTAACGGCACGAAGTAAGGCGATTGAACAGGATACGGGAGCAAGTAGCACAATACATCCGTTGTTCCCGTATCCCGAAATCTCTGCTTTGAAAGAAATCGGAAAAATATCCTTTGTGGCGTTATATACGAGCGATAAAGTTCAATTAGAGAAATTAGTTCTCGGAGAACCGCATTTACGCGCGCGCGCAGATAGCGCGGATGTGTCGGCAATATTGTTGTCCTGAGCCTGATCGGGTATATTGCGACTGATCGAGTTGTTATGGATTGCAGTTCACCCAATGGTCCAAGTGCCGAACCAGCTGGTCGGAGCTCCGATCACAACTAACGTCACGTTGGTCTGTCACGTGGAAGCGTCACCTAAGGCCATTAATTACTGGACTCGAGAATCGGGTAATAGAACAGCGCAATCAGTACAGTTCTTGTCGTTCGATTTACTTGGAGAATAAATACCTTATCAGTTAATACAGTATTATTTTAAATATATTTAATCATTGAGAACATCATATAGAACATTTTATACAATCCTAAATAAAATATTTTTTGTCATTAATAGAAATATGTACCAAAGCGTGAAATTCTAACACTTCATTTTTTTTTTTACATATACTTATATTTTTTGATCATACGATTTAATTTCTCAAACATGTTTTTGCAGACGAAATGATAATCACCAACAGTAAGTACGCGATGTCCGAGATAAAAACATCGGTGTACAGCGTACAGATGCGACTAGTGATCATGAACCTGCAGAAGCACGATCTGGGTGGCTACAAATGCATCTCGAAAAATTCTATCGGCGATGCTGAGGGAAACATCCGGCTTTACGGTGAGTTTCGACGGAATTACGTCCACAAGGGCAAAAAGCTTTTTTGCGAGCTAAAGCTATCAAAGAATCTCGAAAAACTTCATTCAGATGCAAATCATCACTATAATATACAATATAATAATATAAACTCTTTATAAAAAAAAAATTTCAAGAGTTTTAAGAGTGTTTAGTATATATTTTCTTAATATTGGTAATTATATAGTATATAAAAAATATATAAAGACAGAAGACACAAAAGAAGATTAGGCAACGCAAAAGCAAAACACGTAAACTTTATTACTGAAACACCGTAATTTATTTGAGTATTGTAAAACTGACGGCAAAATATTGAAAATATCCAACAAAATCGCGAATAATCGCAATAAATCCTTAATTGAATAAAAATTAATTTTTTACAAAAAATAGATTAAATTTTATGCGGATGCGAATCCGCACATTTTATAAAATCTTATGTACGATTTAAAGTCTTCAAAAGTAAATACTTTTGTGTAAAAGAGCTGAAACAGCCCAGGATACTATAGACGTGTATCTTAGCGCGGTCGCAGCTGCACGTATCTCGGCGGCGAGAAAGTATAGCGTATCACTGCGACTGCGACATCGTCGTTTCCATTACACGCGCGATTTAATACGTCGCAATCTCGCAGGAACGATTGACGGCAACGATCGTCTAGCGCATTACGCAACACGATGGTATTTTTCTCGTCGTCCCGTAACGACACGTCGCCGCAGAAATGGCGAATGGTTAGATTTACGTATAAAATTAGGTGCTTGTTTCTGCATTGTTTGCTTCTATGGAAAGGAACATCGAGTCTGCGTGAATGCAATAACAGCGTAAGTCCGTCGCTTATAAAAGTCGAAACATTTTTATTAATTTTTCTCTTTTTATTTTTTCTTCATCGTGTAATTTAGTGTGAATTTAACATGATTATGTGGCAGAGAGATTAAAGGAAAATAATTTGATGAAAAGACCGCCAAGTGAATCTGAGCAGGAATATTTCACGCTTGTGTAATCTTTTTAAACGCCAACTTGTCATTTTGATAATCTCAGGAATTTATCTCGAAGAAACCGCACGCGACCGTCATTACAAGAAGATATCGGTATTTGCAGAGAATTAAGTTCCCCTCGAGTTTTATTATTTAAGATATCGGAGAGACCAGTGCCGGGAGACAGATCGGAATTTCCGCAGTTTCTTAGCCACGTCTCCTCGTCGCGTCGTAACCGTAAGTTATTTCACGATGCAGATAATATTGTACTCTCCGTATAATATTTATGGAATTTTCGCTTCCATTGTGTGTCCGCGAAATACCACCACCAACCGCCGACGTACATCCATGAAATACCTGAGTGAATAATTTTTAAAATATATTTACGATATTATCGGTTAAAACGTGATTACGAATCTGCTCTCTTTCTTCTCTTTTTCTTTCCAAACTCTGACCACTTTTAACATTCTTTCTTCGTTGAAATTATCATTGTACAATATTAACTTTTATACTCTATATAGAAATCATGTAGCAATTCAAATCGCAAGATATCATAAAATTTCTTCAAAAATAATAATAATAATAAATTAATTAGTTGATGATCATTAAAAATTTATATATTAGAAGAAACACAATCTTAAAAAATATTACAATTGCGACATTTCCAAATATTACTGAAAATTTTTATCGATATTATTTTTATATATATTCTTTTCTAGAATTTATAAAATTTATATTACATTTTGTTATATAAGTTAATAACGAAAAAATATACATTAGAACGGTTGAAACTTGAATAGCACGGTGATATCTCGCGGCGGATGATACTGCGAGCATAATAAGTCGTCATGAGTGGTGCCTCATAATTCCTCACGTTGATTGAACGTTACGATCCGTTTACGATGTGTACGCTGACACTCCTGTACAACCGAAAAACGAACGAAAAAAAGGCACATTTTTCGCAGACGACGCCATTCTCTCGCCGGTATGTCATCAGCCGTAAGTGCGCTCATAACTTCCTCGCTACTTTCCCGCGATATGCATCCTTATTTTTTTCACACTTTATTTATCGGATTCCATCACATAATTTTCCGCTTTATAGCGCGAGAAAAAACTCGGCGAAGCTGCGAACGCGTTACGAGGCTGCATTTACGTTACTATAACATAGCGACCATATGTAGTCAATTCATTCAATTATGCGTTAGAATGTTTTACAATTTTTAATCCATGCTCAGTGATTGACTAAATGACGGAGAATGTAATTATTAAATTGCAAACAATTGAAGCAAACGATTTCGAGGAAGAAAGGCACATCAAAATTCATTCTAAATTAATTAGTGTAGTTTTAGTAATCTCTAAAACTTTTGTCACACGAGTTCCCGCAAAATGTAAATGTCATTTTTAAAAGAATGACGATTTAATTTTGTTGTAATATTAAACGAAATGATATTTTTGTAATTTTATTGTTTAACGACATATGCCCGATTTGATCGCGCTATTGATATACATCGCGGATTGTAGATAATATATGATAGAGAAAATCGGTATAAAATGACGTATTTAATAAATGTGACAGATACGATTCATTACACTCGATCTCGCGCTTTTAAATAAATGATGAAATAGATATTGATCGAATGACCGTAATATTGCAATACATTAGTATGTACTCAGAGAATTATTCTCTGTTTTTGGCATTAATGTTGATTATTCACAAAGGACGCGATATGCATGCGCTTTACTACTTTATAATCTTGTCCAATAAAAAATTTAATGCGCGCATGTAACTCTCATTGTCTAATATTTTTGAAAACATATTGCAATATACATTGTGTATTCCTAAAATTGTAAAATAAACAATATATCGGCATTTTTTTACGATTTAATTAATCCTTGCAGAGCGCAATTTTTGTATATGATAATCCGTCTAAAAATTATCTTATCATAATGGAAGAATATTATGTTTATTACGAAGTTTATTACGTTATTGTCACATTATATACATGTCATGAGCTTTGCGTGTTATTGCGGCGAAAATTCTATATGTCGCACGATTAGAGCAAAATTCCTGGCGAGTTATCGACGAGAATCGCGCATAAAATTTCGGATTCACACGCGGCTGCACAGTCTCGATCTGTATCCCTGCGTCTGTGCGTCAAAATATCTCAACACATATCATTGATGCATCAGAGGGATTCAGGGAAGGAAGATGAATTGCGCTATTTTGCTTATCCCGAAATAAAAAAAAAAAAATAATGACGCACGTGCAAAACTTTCGTCGCGACTTTTTACGTAAAAAGAAGTCTCATCTTCGGTTTACCTCTATCACTCGATCGTAGCGCGGATAAAACGACGTAACAAGTGGGACAAAGCCGAGTCCGATATTCGCGAGTTAACTACCCCCACGGCTTGTGAGCGTGCAATCCTAATGATGGCAATTTTATCGCACTGTCGTGTAAAGGGCGGACGAGGAAGCGCGATGTTATCCCGGCATGCTCGAGCTTCTCGTTGAAGTCACGCGATCAGATAAGCTCGAAGGATTAACCGTTAAACCGCCGGTGTAAACGGGACGCGAAGAACAGGATAAAAAGATCGCGCGCTCGCCCACGTCGTGGGGTAGGGGGAGAGGGGGAGAGAGAGAGGAAAAGGATTCGGTAGATTTAAGAGCGTTACGCGATGAAGGCGAGAATCACAAAAGGCTACGTAAGAGAATGTAGGAGAGCGGCATAGTGGCGCGTCATGTCGAGGATCGAAAGTCCGCGAAACAATATCTGAGCTTTCCATTCACCCCTTGCCTGTCCTACCCCTTTCCCCTCCACTCCTCTTTTCTATCCGCACCGTGCCGGTTTTTCGTGTCCTCTTTTCCGCCGCTTGCGCGCGGTCGGGATTATGGATTTACCTTGATAAATGGCGACTCGATATCGGAGTCGCGGCGTATCTCCGGGATGAAGATCGCGTTGCTTTAAATTATAAGAGAGTCTGCGGATTTTGATTTCTCCTGCGATATTATACAAGAGAATTTTCAATATTTCAAAAACTCTCTTACTGTTTTGTGTTTCATAATTCATAAAGGATGATTCATAACGGTTACGCGCGTACATATTAATCAACCGACGCTACATTTGCATTACATAAATTTGACAAAGTGACATAAAATATCAAATAGAAAAGATATATAATTAAAAATATGTAATTAATAATAATTTGATGTCGTCGAATAATTTGAGAGATTAAATGTTCACAGTTCTCAGTTATGTTTTGTTACGATTCTAGAGCTTATCACGAAAGAAATTAAAAAATAAGACCTTTGCTTCGTAAAAAGGGAAATTACTTAAAAAATATAATACCTTTAAATTAAAAATAATACCTTTGCCTTATATAAACAAGAAAAGCGGTATTATCAAGGAAATATCAATGCTAGTAAGTAATTTTGAAAAATGTTGAGAATTTTCCTCAAGCATCACTTGTGTTTCCAATAATGACTTTTTCTAAATCAGCCAGAGAGTATATAAGTTGCGCGTCGTCAAAAAAGCGCTGCGGAACAATAGCGAAGATCATCGGGGCGTCACGTCGCCGGTTAAAAGACCGTGAAACAATATCTAACGTGGCCACCATCCCGCCGTTATCTCTCTTCTTGCTCTCCGCCATCCTGGCCCCGCGTACTCCCGTGTCTCGTATTAGTTATCGTTTATCAGCCAGCCAGACAAAACGCGCCGCCCGGAATTGGGTGAGCCATCTGTTGCCAGACATGATCGATAAAAGTCTGCCAAGTGTTATCAGTGCTAAACTGCTATTTCGACGGGCTGCCGCACGCGTGCACCACACTCTTCTACTTCTTCTTATAGTTCTTCTAACCACCGGTCTCTACCGCAGCCTGTCTCTTCGTTCGAAACAGTTGTATACGGGGTGTCGCGGGCTTAGCGAGACAAATTTTTATTTTTGAAAGAATTGTCTGACAATCACGGGATCAACATTTAACAAATAAGAATTTTCAGAGTAAATTTTCAAAGTAATTACGGAAATGTTTCATAGCGCGTATAAAAAAACTTTGCACAATTTCAAATTCGAGAGTAATAAATGTGAATTTTTTAATGCGAGCCAAAGGTGAAATTTTTACATAGAGAATTCACGTCGTACTCAACGTATGAATTAAATTCATTAGCAATATTATTAAATAGAGTTGACCGAGAGCAAAAGGAAAATTAGAATGGAAATTGCATCTCGTTGCAGGATTCGAGTGCTCCGTAATAAATAGCAATAGGTAGCAGAGCGATACTTAATTCAATGTCATTGAAACATGATCTTGTCAATTAGCCCTGTGATTTTGGTATTTGGTAGCTTCGTCGAAACTATATAATCGACATAGTGGGTTAAACGTTCTAACGTTACGCGCGAGTTCGGTTACCCCAGTATAATTACATTCGGATAATGGGAAAATGCGTTAACATTTAACATTGAATCAAATCTCAATAATTATATCGTAACTGAACGTACATCAAAACATTATTCAGTCGAAATGTATTTTTCTGCAAGGATGAAATATAATCTGAAGAATAGAATTTAATCACGTTGCGAGAGACAAGCACGTCTGAGCTGTCCAGTATATCGAATCTACAGGAAATTAACGTTGACTATACATTTCCTAAAGAGCGAAGCGTACGATTGATTCTAACATGAGAAAGATAACGGGATGCTCCATATCGTTGCCCTTCTTCCCTCTTCCTGCAACTTCGCGTTACTCGCTATCACGTATCGACTTGCTCATCATTCGCTCGTTGAATTTCAATGTAACGTGCCGTGGTGTATTTAGTACTGTTGAGAAATACACGATAAATGTCAAAGAGAAAGTTACATTCATTACATTGCGAGAAGGTCGTGTCGTAAATGCGAAATATAAAAATATCACCTTGAAAAAAAATTTTTTAACAGCGGAAAAAGAAAAGGAAACAGATTGATTTTCTTTTTTCCATTTTGCACACGACAAGATGCGCTCCTATCGCGATATAATTTCCAAAAAGAAAATCTCACTTTACTTTTATTCACCTCGCGTGTATCGGGTGACGTGGAGCGTAAAAACATCGCGGGATATCCTCCATCCAGCTTCTGCACGTGCGGAGAAAAAAATGATATCTACTCGCGCGCGTATCGCCGACTACTGGTTGGCCACAGTTGAAATAATGTTTCGATGATCGTGCCTTGAATTCAATAACGAAGGAACTGCAAACTTGACACTCTCTCATTGCGCGGCGCAAATATCGATAACTCCAACATTTTCTACATCAACTCGGCAACTTGTAAAAATCACTGCTTAATTTTCACGTTCACATAACTCTCTCTAAACATAGCGACTTATCTATAAGACATCGAAGATTTAAAACCAAAAATGAGAAAGACAATTTTAAAGGAAATATCTATAAACAGAATCTAAGTATAGATGTCCAGTTCTTCTTAAACAGTACAGAATGAATTTCAAAATAATATATTTTAAAATGCTGAAAAAATAACTTCACAAAAAACCTAATTACTCAAAAAGATGCTACTCTTCCATTTGTTATAGACATGGAGCTGCCTAAGCATTCCAGAAAGACGGGTGACCGGCGATCGGAGGACGATACGGGCGATTCGATCGGCGAACGCGATCACAGACTGAATCACGTGCATCAGGGCCCATTGAGGGAAACGGGATCTACCCTAGAACCATCTTTCGACACAGACGATAATTCGGCATCCACTACATCGAAAGAGAGCGCGTCGCCCGCGACCACCGCCATCATCCTAGTCGCGCTGCATCATCTGCTCGCTTCGACGTAAGATAGACGGAATTTATCTTTAAATACTCTCAAAATACGTTTATTACGAGCTCGATTCTCTAGCTTTAACTCTAAAAGAGATTGCGCATGACAGCGGCGAAATAATCCGATCGAGTCGCGTTCTCGGCGATCCATATTTGCCGTCTACCAAATTTTGGATCGATATTTCGTTGATACGTAACAATAGTCATATCTTATACGGAAGAGTAATTATTAATTACTATGCGTCACGTTGCTGAAGGATACTATTATAATACGTTTGAAATATAAAAAAATTCACCGAATCGATGAGTAAAAATTTGCAAAGCAGAAATTTTCATATTATTATTATCAAAAGGAGTAAATTTCATATTTTTAAATATATTTTATATATACTTATGTGAAACAATAATATGGTAAAATTGAATACAATGTACTTCGAAAATATAATGAATTTATTTTTCTGTGGAAATTAGAAGATGAATTATGATATAAATTTATTATTATTAATAAATTATTACTTTTACCAAATGTAACGGCTTTTTACCGGGCATTTTTTTCCAATAAAAATAATTACGTTTTTATTATTCATTTTATTTGCGACATAAAATGGCGAATTATAAAATTATTGTGGAATTCGAAGTCTCTCAACGTCAATTCATGCGATAATTAAACATTTGGACGGTTTGCATTTTGATAATGAACAAAAAGCATCTGATAAAATTTTATTCCGAAACGAAAAAGCGATAATAGACGATGAATAATAATGTCCGCATATATAGAAATAGAAACAGAAACTTGGAGGTCAAGAAACACCGATTAACAAAAGCGACATGTTCAATCAAATCATACGTAATATAACTTATATGTAAAAATAATATGCGGCACTTGTGAGACAGAATGTTAATTCAAAAGCTCGATATGAAAGTACAATGGACGACTTTTATATTTTTGATTGTCGGAGATATTTTTCATTGAAGATGTTTTAGCAATTCTCTTCAGATTTTGAAGATATTTATATAAAATATGTTAATGCTATTTCATCTTTTATATATATATTTAAAAAACTGTAAGCAAATTCGCACTTTTTTCTTTATAAAAATACAATTGCATCTCTATATTATGGATAGTATTAATTTATTAATAGATAAATTTTCATATAATAAGTTTGTTAAATATTATTTACATTATTATGATCGCAAATTAGTCTTTCGGCATAGAGTACTATCATATTTTTTTCTCGAGAGCAATTTTCAGGAATCTATTTCAATTTTAATTCATAGGCGATGCCTTTAATATATAAAAACCGTCCATATGTACCTATATCTCGTGTAGCATCGATCCAACGTAGCCGCTCATCCACTTAACGCCGATGTAAATTAACAGTCTAACGAATATCGACGAAACGTTAACGGCACCAAAGATTGTGAAATTTTGCTCGTTTCGTCATCGCGGGCTACGGCTACCCTGATTGTCCGTTTGCGGCTTAACGAGATATCTCGTTAGTAGCCACGTCTCGCCACACATCACCCTCCCAATGACATAATTATAAAACCGCCGGACTTTTTTAGCTCGCATCCGAAACGTCAGATCAGAGCGGGCGAGGCGGTTTTACACGCGGAATCAATTACGCGAACGTCGTTCACGTCGAGTCGCTACCGATGCCGGAGGAAACACTCCCGACAGCGACTGCCGCGCGAGAAATCGCGCATGTTTAATTAACGCGCGAATTCCCATCGAGTGAATTCGCATTAGCCGCGATCAAGTGGAACGAGCTGCTGCAGCATCGGTGTCTAATCCAGAGCCGATTTTACTTACACGATCGAGAGCCAAGCGGAGTGCTGGGCTTTCCACTCGTGCGTGCGTGACGCACGCAATTTCGCAATACGTATCGCTTCGTATCCCGTGAAATTCAATTTCCAATTGCGTTTCTCTAAATTGAGACCAATCGAAAATATCCTTGATATATTTTGATCTATCGAACTAGTCAATCTTCGCAATTTCGGCTGTCTGAAAGATGCTGAGACATCTTTGAATTATAAAAAAAAAGATGTCACTTCTACTTTTATACTTTGTATAATAATATCTATATTACCTATATTCGATGGAGAAAAAATATTAACGCGAATGACAGGACGGTAATTGAAAATTTTTTCATTAACATATTCACATCGCGCGCGAGCAACCGTATCGAAATATTTTTATCGACAATTTTGTTATTAAATACATATGTATCAGTTGATCTGGATGATTGGAAATGTTTCTTTTTCCGATATTCCAACATTATTCAGACAGTTACATTAAACTTCTAATTTCTTCAATATGTAGCACAGATGTTTTGTTCTATGTTTGCTTCATCTGTGCTCTAAAAATATAACATCTTACATTTCTAGATCTTGCCATTTCTAGAAATATCCTATCAAGCTCGAGAAGACGCGATTGCTCATTCCATTCTTATGTCGCGAAAAAAATTTCATGATAAAGAAATATTGATATGTGCTTCGTACAAAAAGTAGAAAATAGAATTTTCTAAATAAAACAGTACTTTGTGTGTAAATAACTAACACACACTGCTGAATTTTCTGTCAAGAGGATTCAAATCTTGAGTTATAAATATTCAGAGTTGACATCACAAGAATCCTTCGCACGTTGAAAAATGATAGCGCGAGAAATAACAGTAACAAATTAACTTGCCATCACTTTGTAACAACATTAAATATGAACATTACTGAAATTGATTAAAATTTTTTCTTAGTTCGCAAAAAAATTGCAAACCACACACACACATTTATATACATAAATAAATTCACAAAATTATATAGTTTTGGAGACACCGTGCTGTTCTCATACACTTTTGTTTTCGAATTAAATCGTTCATACATTTTCTATTAATATTACAATTAATTTATGATATTTGTGACTCACATACGTACGCGCAAAATTTCGGAAAATCTCGTGGTTCGTTGAAAACGCGACGACTCGGTAAACGAATTTTGATACATAATTTTGGTTCAGTGACAACGAGGCGCGCAGATGAAAGCAAAAGTGAGAGATAATTGCTCGTCCCGATTAGAGAAACGTGCCAAATGTTCGGCTTCGTTATTCTTTTTTTTTTTTTTTATTTTAAGAATTTCATATCTATGGATTTATTTAGGATGACTTATCAATATCGGCGTTTCAAGGGTCCATATCGCTTTTTTCAAGCTTCCGAGTTCAATATTAGATATCCGCGCGTTGTTATGCCATTTAGACGGCTTTTCTATAAACGGCACCAAGTGTCGAGAGTTTTGAGTTGGGAATATCTGCGAATATTCTCATATCTTAGAAATGTTTATATAAAAACGATAAAACAAAAAAAAAAGATCTATCCATCTTTCTGTATAAATGTATATACATATCTTTGAGTTGGAATATTTATTAACTCATTGATAGTTAAAACTTAAATCTTGTAACTGATTTGTTAAGTAGATTAAGACTCATAACTTTACCGTAAATTACTCTTATGGCACAAAATGATATTACATCCTCTAGAGAGAACTTTAGAATCTTATTTCTCAGTTTTGTGACATAAAGGCACTCAGGTCCTTTTACATAAAAGTCGTCCATTTAATGGGACAATGAATATTCCTTGTAGACAAAGGATGCGACGCTTGATAATGACAGCACTTTTGCTACCGCTCGTTACAACAGCGTTGTCAATTATGTCATCTGACAGTCACATTGTGAATGGACGATTAACGCGTATCGAGGTTAAATATTTTATACTTGTGAAGTACGAAAAGAATGACGCGCGGTCTGCCAGCATATAAAGATAGTGTTTTCGCAGAGATATAATATTGTGTAATAAGATATGGCAACTGGCTTGCTTCAGATCCCTTCTTTACGTGGCATTAAATCTCGAGGAAAGTATTATATTTATCGTCGTAATAAATATAATTACAAAAATTAAAATTTGCTTAGTGTCATTATATAATAAAAACTGAATCTATTTTTTTCTAATTACACGCTTTTCTTACGAATATCTCATAATCAGTAATATATTTCATGTGTGATGACAACGAATAGAATGTATAAATTAAAATAAAAACATTGCATCGTCAGGTCAGACAATCCATATAAAAAAAAAAAATATCCTTAATTTTTTGTCTAAAATTTATTGACGTTTTAGTTATATATTTAGTTTATTTATACATTTATATTAAATCTGATCACAAATGTGAATTCATGACTAATTTAACATCGAAGTTTGAATTAATTCTTGCTATAGAGTTATCAGTATTTTAGTATCAACTGTAAGTCAAACCAAAT